ATGTGATCTCCATTGGATATGATCTGTAATGTAATTCCAATTTATTGGACCATGAAAGATTAAATTATAGTTGTTTACACCCAAATGCGGAATTAAACCAATTAAAAGCAATACTTTAATTGTTTCTAGATGATTAAGGTAATTAATCCAATTAATTCCTATGGTTAAAACAATCACCTGAACATATAGATCAAAAGCAATAAACAACACCAGATATGATCACTGAGGAAAATCCCCAATCGAATAAAAACCTACCGGCAAATTTGCTAGTAAAATCCACTAGTAAAGTAAGTTTACAATTAGTTCAGACACTGCTAAACCTTAGCTGATTCTGATCATCTAGCTTGTAAATCACCAAGGAACTCCATTGGTTGTGTACCCCACACTTCTTAGAACTCTGAGCAAACTTTTCTCTCCCTGTGGATCTCCAAGAACGAATCTCGTTCTTTCACGCAGGAACTCCCAAGTGCCTCTTCTCCAAACTTTAGAGCTCTAAAGGCTATTACTGAAGGTAGGGTATGGTGTTTGATCAAAGATCTTTCTATATGTTTTGACCTGGGGTTGAATGTGGAGGATTATGGCTTGATCAACAAAACTGTGTTTGGGATGAATTTATGAATAACCAATCAAGGGGTTGAATCAATGAATCAATATAATGTGTTTACATCTTCAAGGGAATGATCTAGGATGTAATATAATGATTCAACATACCTTGAGACGTTCATGGGGCTGAATATTTACAATGGAGGTGTTTGGGATGAAAGAGGAACTCAAAATCAGCTTTAAAATCGAATTTTATAGTTCCTCAAATAACCACGCCGCTCGAGCGTCGGGTGAGTAGCACCTGAGCGGTGGTCGGTATTTTTATCGTAACTTTATCTTCAACTATTCGATTGAGACAATTCAAAGTGAATTGGAAATATAACGCAAAGGGCTACAATTCTTCTTGAAATAGTCCTTTTCAAAGTCGAATTTTTTCTATGTGAAAAATGCGTCGCAACTTGTAACTGAGAATTTGGAGCAAAACTTGTGTAACACTTTGACAATCCTTTTGACTTCTAATTGTATTCCATTGATCATATGTGATCTTTTTCAACATCTTGGACTCCTTCAATACCTATACTATGAACCTCCAATTCTTTGGATTTAATTACAACATAAATAACATATATATATTAGATACGGATAAAGCCAATTACAAATAGGAGACCTAACAGACCATGTATTATGACTAGCTTTGTTACACATCCACCTATTTCCAAACCCTCTTACTATTGGCTTCACTACCTGTTCCGGAAGCCTCCATTTTTAGAAACTAATAGTTGCTATCAGCTATCCTACGGCTTCATCGCATAGAGAATTCTGCATACAAATATATAGAGGGTCGAAGAACAAAATATATAGTGACACAATGTAGAAGAGGAATTAATAATTGGAAACTGATTGTGTCAATTTTTCTAAAATTTCCTAATCCGTGGCCATCGCATTGCTTCAGGGTCGAAATTATATCCCTGCTTCAGGACTGGACTACAAAGATATTGAGCATTAAAAGGTCAAGATTTAGAACATTATGTGCACTGTGACACAAATCTAATGAGGGTGTCTTCAGTTGTGTTTACTTTACAATTATTTTTCCTAGAAATTTAATGAAAGAAACCAGTTCTTACATTATCCCAACGATTTTATATTGATGAGTTCAGCATATGGGTAGTTTGATCTTTTAAGTTTTCTAAGGTTTTAGTATTTATGCTTTATATAATCTCTTCGTAATCTTTTGTTAGACATCGAAAAAAGCTCCTTCTTGTTTAAAACAAGACCACATATAAATCACATCAACTAAAGTTTAATTTTACAAATGCTCAGCAGTTTATCATTAATACTTCGACAACTTTAACATCATATACAGCATTGCGGCAACTAATGTAAATGACAAGTTGGTGCTTTCTTTTATTTTATTTTTATTTTTTTTAATGATGTGATAAAGAAAACAAGCAAATTAAATGATCAAGGAAAAAGAAGGGATTGTAAGGATTTTTAATCGATCATGTAGACTTATATGTGAATTATTGTTTATCAAATTAAAAGCTATCAATTTTGGTTAAATCCGTTTAAAGTGATCTAATAAGATTTCGATATTTTGGGTTTTGAAGTATCTAATTAAAGTGTGGACTTTTATGTATAGAGACCAGGCACGTTTTAATTTCATGATGAGCCGAATTAGGTTAACAGACCGTTAGTATGTGTATATATATACACAGTTATGGTCCCCAAATCACACGAGTGGTTGTTCATTCTATTTTGACTCTCATCATCAGAGAGAAAAATGGACAACTTGTTGATTAAGACTAAAATCGCATAACTCATTCATTGCATTAACCATGTCTCATTTAAGTATGCTTCCGCTTTGGTTCATAAATTCTTGGTGATCCAACATGAAAGGTTATTATGACGGTAAAAGTTTTCCCTACATGGATGTCTTTTTCCTATGTGAAACCTCAGCTCGAGAAAGTCCATGAAGTATAATGCTTTGTGTCCAATAATGGAGTGATCTTCTTGTATTGGCCTAATCACGATATGAAAATTAAGAAATGATGCTAAAATATTACAAATCATTGAATAAGCTTGTACCTCACAGAGATGTGTAATGATTATTTGTGCACATCACATGAGGTCTGGCACACACCTTGAACATATATTGCACTTGTACATATACATTTTATTATTTACAAATCATTGAATTAGCTTGTATCTTATAGAGTTGTGTAATGATTATTTGTGCATAACACATGAGGTCTGGCACACACCTTGCACATATATTGCACTTGTATATATACATTTTATTAAAAAGAAAAAAAAATTATTAGCCGATTAATACTTTATTAGTACGATGAGGTCAAATATTGTACGACACACATCCGGCGCCATTTGGTGTCCAATGCGTATCGGACACCAACACCACAGCTGCGAAGACGAGAATAACGTAATATTTCTTCCTCTATCCTATTAGGTTTTGCAAGTTTTAGCCGCCTGACTTTCTCTCTTCCTGACAGAATCCACTGCCTTCTTGAGTTCTTCAACCCACGCCTTCTTCAATTCTTCAACAAATTATGCCTTCACGCGTTGGAAGGCCGCATCTTCAGTTCTTCAACAAAACTGCCACAAGGGACCTCCAACACGTGTTGGTGCCGTGTTGAAAATATGCCGATATCTGATACGTGTCGACCACCGATACGTTAACGCCTTTAGCGTGTCGGTGCTTCAGAGAGACACATTGTGGGCTGTGGCCTTAGTTAATTAATGAAAAATGTTATGAAACTTGAGGGTTTCTTTTAGTCTATGAACATGGAGAAAGCCTGAAATAGGAAAAGAAGTTAATAACAAAATCCAAAATCAGATTATCCATTTATAGATTAACATTTCAATAACAACTTGAGCTTGTAAAATTATGGTGTTAAATTATGTGACCTTTCATCACATTAATCTGATAAATGATGTAATAAGCAAACAAGAAAACCAAGCAATTATTTGTAACTTAACAAAAAGACACCGAGCAATTATAAGCAACAAATCAACTATGATTATTGACTGGTTATCCTTTCTTATGCATATATTTATTGTGCTTTCCAACAAACACTAGCTGGTAACAATACATACCATCAATCTTTCAATGTAGTGTTTGTTGGGAATTTACTTAATCATGCACAGCGGAAATAAAATAATTTTCTATTCCCAAACGAGGATCTGCAATGTGTTTAGATAGAAACTGTGATGAGAATGATACCTTTGATGAATTCCACAAACTCTTTTGTCTTTCCTTGAACTCCAATGATCACGATCTGCAATCCAAGCTGTCCAATTGTCCAGCCTCCAATGGTGATCCACACAGAGAACAAGAATGACGGCTAGGGTTTTTCTTTTCTTGTGCTAGCAAGAATAATAAAATTCTCTACAGTTTTTCAAACCCTAGTAGTCTATTAATATAAGTCCAGATGGGCTCGGCCCATCTATTAAACTTAACCCGGTCCAATTTACAAATCATTGAATTAGCTTGTACCTCACAGAGTTGTGTAATGATTATTTGTGCACATCACATGAGGTCTGGCACACACCTTGCACATATATTGCACTTGTACATATACATTTTATTAAAAAGAAAAAAAAAATTATTACCCGATTAATACTTTATTAGTACGATGAGGTCAAATATTGTACGACACCATTTGGTGTCCAATGCGTATCGGACACCAACACCACAGCTGCGAAGACGAGAATAACGTAATATTTCTTCCTCTATCCTATTAGGTTTTGCAAGTTTTAGCCGCCTGACTTTCCTCTCTTCCTGACAGAATCCACTGCCTTCTTGAGTTCTTCAACCACGCCTTCTTCAATTCTTCCAACAAATTATGACTTCACGCGTTGGAAGGCGGTATCTTCAGTTCTTCAACAAAACGCCACAAGGGACCTCCAACACGTATCGGTGCCGTGTTGAAAACATGCCGATATCTGATACGTGTCGAACACCGATACGTTAACGCCTTTAGCGTGTCGGTGCTTCAGAGAGGCACATTGTGGGCTGTGGCCATAGTTAATTAATGAAAAATGTTATGAAACTTGAGGGTTTCTTTTAGTCTATCAACATGGAGAAAGCCTGAAATAGGAAAAGAAGTTAATAACAAAATCCAAATCAGATTATCCATTTATAGATTAACATTTCGATAACAACTTGAGCTTGTAAAATTATGGTGTTAAATTCTGTGACCTTTCATCACATTAATCTGATAAATGATGTAATAAGCAGACAAGAAAACCATGCAATTATTTGTAACTTAACAAAAAGACACCGAGCAATTATAAGCAACAAATCAACTATGATTATTGATTGGTTATCCTTTCTTATGCATATATTTATTGTGCTTTCCAACAAACACTAGCTGGTAACAATACATACCATCAATCTTTCAATGTAGTGTTCCCTCCTCAGTATAAAAACAGTGTTTCTATCAGCAGATTACCTTCTGTCTGCTACTGTTGCTTCTTGATATGTTGCCTCTGGAAGTACAACCATGGAGCCTGAACACTTCCTTATCAATCTGCCCTCTGGGATGAACTTGAGTTACATGATCTTTTGAGTAGTCATTTAATTTCTCTTTACCGGGTACATCATTTGACCAAAATATCTATACAAATTACAAATATACAGCATCATGGAACATTGGAGTTATATGCGTGCGACGACCGTGCTTAGCACAAGCATTTTTATGTTTTACGCCTAATTTTATCATATCAGGTTCTTGTTTGTTCAATGTCAGGCCTTTTGAAGTCAGACTCGCGGGAGATTTGATCTTCAGGTGAATGGTTAAGATACATTAAAACTTGGTTCGTTCAAGGTAGGTTGTTTCCGAGTGTTAACACACGATAAGCGTGCAGCATTCGTGCTAAGCACATGACAGAGTTGTTTCTTTTTCCTATCTTTATTCTGTGTTACCGACTATTACCACTAAAATATTTGTAATAATCACATATAATCATGGTGGACAACATAAATTGTATGACTACATTGCAATGAAGTGATATTTGTTCATTTGCTCGACTTTTATAGAGAATTAACTGATATTTCTCAAATCAGCTCTTATTGTTAGCATTTCAGAAACCAAATCATTGAACGAAAAGATTGAACACTTAACGTATTTGTGTGCAAGTGCACACGTGATAGCAATCTTTAGGAAGAGAAAGTAAGAAATGCCTTTTATTTTATTTTTTATGACTTAGGTATTCAAGTTTCGCCCCAGCTAATCTTGAGGAGTGGTGGCCTACCCCCCTCGTTCGCCACTCGGGTAAATCGGATGCGATCACAGTTTATACACACTTGCGCCGAACATTTGGGAAGCGATTCTCCTCCCTGTGTACCCACATTTACAACGTGTGGACGGAACCTCCAGAGGAATAACATAGCGCACTATAACTTTGTCACCATATAGGAGATCTCTCTTCCAACATAAATATTGCCTTCCAGCTACCGCAAGAATTTGAACCTCCAACACTCCGTAAAGAACCCTACTACTTTACTATTGTGTCAGGCCCATGGGGGCAATGCCTTTTTATGTATATAGAAACAAAGAGGATGAACAAGAGAAAGAAGAAGAATAAAGCCATTTTACAGAAAATGGTTACTGATATAGAATATATAGCTATTGTACAGAAAATTAATGGTCGATATCACTGTTGCGAATTTATGTCGCAAGTGGATGTATTTTAAACAAATAGTATAATGATGAATATAATAGCATGGCACAAAGATTGATTTTTGATTCTACTTTAACACAAAATAACTCTAACAAGAATGTACATATTTCAGATTATAATTTTGAGTTTTATTCTTCATTAACAACTAAACTAAGCTATTTAAAAGTGTATACAAATCTTAGAGTGAAATTCAGTTAAACAAAGCACTAGGACCAGGATCTTATCATTGTAATCATATTTGAATCTTAAATTATCCGTCGATTATCAATTCTTGAGAGGTTGAAAATCAATGATCCAATTATAATTAGTAGCCTTTCTCAAGGTCAATTAATTCTACACTTACATGTGAACCTAATTATCTCTAATTAAATTACAAACATATAAGCATTCAATTAAATTACATAAATCATGGGTCACGATTTCATAGAGCATAATGGTATATCTTTCTATTATTGGACCCTATATATGTTGTTTATTATCATATACAAATTTATATCAAATCTCTCCGAAACAATACAAATTATAAGTACATTCTAATGATGATCAAGTATCAAAAAGGAACTAAGTGAATAATAACCAATCAACCAACGCTAATAAATGCAGCAAAAACGAGCAATATGAGATTAAAATAGTTCGCAACGTTTCAGGAGGTTGTTGATAGGCGCCTGGTTGTACTTCAGAAGCTGCTTCCGCCACACCATCCCCAACATTACCATCATTGGTACTCCCATATGATGATGACTGGCCATTGCAATTGGTTGTGGTGGGGGATGGTACATGCCCAGAAACTGCATATGAGAAGATTGTGCAGCAACAGCACGCATGACTACTGTGAGATGGCAAATAAGCAGCATGAGCTGTTTGCCCAGGCATGTTGTAATAAGAGTCTGGCTGCGGACTAGAAAGATCCCGTGGTTTATCCACATAACAAATGTCTTTGGCTGACCATTAGGAATGTTAATATTGCTATCTTTGTACTTGAGCCGAGATGAATCTTCATGTCTTGTTTCACTTCTGATTTGGAGCTTTGCTACTATATTATGATCAAATGTGCAGAAAGAAAATTATGGTATGATATCGTGCGCTTCGTCATATAGTACACAAAATTGCAAGCTAATCAACAACCAATTTAGCATTCAAAATTGTAACAGAAGAAACAAAGGAAACATTCAGAACTTCAAGTAGAACCTTGGAAATGATCATCTTCCTTGTGCATCCAATGCCCCTTATTGAACGTGTGCTTCTTCTTTTTGTTGGCTCAACTTTCATTTGCAATTCAAATATCTAAGTCATTCAATACATAAGTTTTTATTATACCTTGACATCTTTTCTCATTATCTGTTCCAGCTATTTACTATCATAGAGGTTTGGCCACAAAGATTCAATGGCCAATTTGAGACTGGTTGTGGTTGGGTAAGTTGCACGTGCATGCCTAATGGTGTCAAACACGCAACTTGCACGAATGCTTCACTTATCCAATACATGCGATTACATTCTATTAAGAAGATCCATCAACACTCCACCTTGCTGTTATACGTGAAGACTGAAGAATCACATGGAGTGTCATTGATGCTAATGTGCACTTGTGGTCCAGCCTTTTGTTTGTTGCTACTGTTTTATCCTCACATGTGATGTACATATAATTAGTTATATTTTTAGCTTGTTGATCACTCAAAACTCTTGTATATAAGTGTGTCAAGCTCTGTACAATAATATATCGGTCGCAATACAATTTCATCTCTTCTCTGCTTCTTTATTCTTTGGTACTATTTTATCTATTCTTCTCATCATTTTTAACTTGGTATCAGAGCCATTAATGGCTAATACCGGATCCAATGTCAAGACCCAATCAACTCGACCTGAATCAAACAATCTGATGCCTCCAATGCTCGGAGGAAATCAGACACCAATTTTTGGAATTAGCCTTTCTCAAGTGCGTCCGGTAAAACTTGATAGGAATAATTTCTTGTTGTTGAAAAATATGGTTATGCCCACTATCAAGGGGAACAACCTTGAAGGATTATCACTGGAACAATGGCGTGCCCAACTAAATTTCTCGCAATGCAAACCACGGGACCTGCTGGAGTTACAGTAGAGATGACACCAAACATTGAATATGGGAAATGGATGTCCACAGATCAGCTCCTAATGGGGTGGCTCTACTCTTCAATGACTGCAGAAATAGCCGTGAGAGTAATGGGATCTACAACTTCACAGAACTTCTGGAATGCTATCCAAGAGAGTTTTAGGGTAATGAATAAATCTAGAGTCACTTTTCTCATAAGTAAACTCCAAAGGACAAGGAAACGCTTGATGAGTATTGATCATTACTTGAATACAATCAAACAACTAGCTGACAACTTGGAAATTACAGGGAAACGCATCCCTCACAATGATCTTGTCACACAACTTCTTGCAGGACTTGATGAAAAATATACACCCATAGTAGTCCAAATCAACAGCAGGGATTCCATTAGCTAGCATGAATTGCAATATGTCCTAATGACCTTTGAAAGCCGACTGGAGCACCTTAATTCTGTGAAAAATAACTTAGCCTCAGTTAACTTAAGCCAAAGCTCATCCAACTTTGTGCATAAACTAAATGCCAACAAAGGGAGCAAAATTAGCTTTGCTGGAAGAAGCTACAACAACAGGAGAATTGGAAGAAGCAGGGGCAGATTCATCAGACAAACCGAATTCAGAGGACCATGCCGAATTTGTGGCTTGAATAATCACTCTGCTGACAAGTGTTTTAATCGTTATGATGAAAGATATATGGGTGGAAGACCCAGCCAGCATCCTATGAACACTCCTCAAAGCCAGCAGCATTTGTAGCATCATCTAGCACCGTTGCAGATGCATCCTGGTTCATGGATTCTAGTGCTAGCAACCATGTCACTACATAGAAGAACCTGTTAGAGGTTCTTGAGTATGGCGGTAACGAAAAACTAACTGTTGGTAATGGTAATAAATTTCACATCTCACATGTTGGTGTCAATCACTTGGGCACTTTGAGTGATAAATCTTTTTGTTCTTAACAATGTGCTACTGGTGCCTTCAATTAAAAAAAATCTTATAAGTGTGTCTCGGTTAACTTCAGATAACAATGTATTCATGGAATTTCATCATAACCTCTGTGTTGTGAAGGAGAAACGAACGAACGAAGTGCTGCTGGAAGTGAAGCTTAAAGATGAGCTTTATCAAATTAAGCTGCCAAACCAAACAAAAAATTTCACCTACCAACAGTCAGCCTACTCCAAACTAGCTTACTCCAATAAATTGAGTCCTGCTACTTTTGTTGTTGAGTCAAAAGAGTCGAATGGGTCAAGGTTAAGGCAATCGCATCCCACCATCACTGTGATGTCTCAAGTACTCAAACTTTGTAATGAAAAATTTAATACCAATGAAATCAGTCACTATTGTGATGCTTGTCAACTTCGTAAATCCCACTCTTTGCCTTGTAAATTGTCTGATTCACATGTTCTTGCTCCTTTAGATCTTATCCACTCAGACGTTTGGGGTCCTGCACCTACAACTTCTACCTCGGGATTTAAATACTATATCCTTTTCATAGATGACTACAGCAGATTCACATGGATTTATCCAATGAAAAAAAAAATCAGATGTCCTAAATCTATTCATTCAATTCAAAAATTTGGTTGAAAATAAGTTTGATAGGAAGATTAAAACTCTCCAAACTGATTGGAGATGTGAGTTCAGGGCCTTTACTGATCTAGCTCTAAATTTTGGAATTGATATAAGGTTATCATGCCCTCACATTTCAGCTCAAAATGGAAGAGCTGAAAGAGAACACAGATACATAACTGAAATAGGATTGACACTCCTTGCTCAAGCCAATATGCCATTATAATATTGGTGGAAGCTTTTCAAACAGCCACTTTCCTGATTAACAGATTACCTACTCATGTTCTTAAAATGAAAACACCACAGGTTCTAAATAATGAACAAATTTACTATAATTCTCTTAAGACCTTTAGATGTGCCTGCTTCCTTTGCCTAAGGCCATATCAAGAACACAAGTTCAGTTTCCACTTTATAAAGTTTGTCTTCATTGGCTTCAGTAATTCTCACAAAGGGTACAAATGTTAAGTCCAACAGGAAGAGTTTACATATCCAGACGTGTAATCTTTAATGAAAAATAATTTACATTCCAGACAGTCTTTCTCAGTAAACGAAATACCTCACAAAATTCTGAAACCATCGTCCATTATCTACCTTTCTATTCGCCTCAAAACTGCAGGCAAGTTGGCTCAACTGATGAAGTTCACTCTGAAGCAACTCCAACAGCTATACTTCACAGTTCAGAACAACAAGTGTTGGTTGAAAATAGAATGGCTCAGATAAATGAAATTACAGATGTTGATGCTGAAAGAGCCCTTATTCAAACTCAGGAGGAAACTCCTAATGATCGGATAAATGAAGCTGAATTAAATGATGAAAGGCAAAATGATTAAGGGCAAAAAAAACCACATAATTGAACATCATATGGTTACTAGAAGCAAAGTTGGAATTTTTAAGCCTAAAGTTTACTCTACAGAATGCAGAGAGTACGGCTTCATATCATGATGAACTGGAACCTAACAATGTTGCTAAAGCACTATCAAATAGAAACTGGAAAGAATCAATGAATGATGAGTATAAAGCACTAATGAGAAATGAAACTTGGGAGCTAGTACCACCTCTGATTGGTCAAAAAGTGATTGGAAACAAATGGGTTTTTAGGATTAAACATGACACTGAATGCAGAATATTAAAGCATAAAGCAAGACTAGTGGCCAAAGGGTTCTTGCAAACTTCAGGTGTGGATTACCATGAAACTTTTAGTCCTGTCATAAAGGCTGCAACTCTAAGAATTGTACTCACTCTTGCCATCTCTAAGAACTAGAGTATCAGACAAATTGACATCAACAATGCATTCTTAAACGGGAATTTTGAAGAGGAGTTCTACATGTGGCAACCTGTAGGTTTCATTGATCAAACAAAGCCTAATTTTGTCTGCAAACTTAAGAGAGCACTCCATGGACTCAAGCAAGTACCTAGAGCATGGTATGAGAGACTAAAGAAAACACTTTTAGACTAGAGGTTTTCAAGATCAAAGGCTGACAATTCTCTGTTCTTTTACATTAACCAGGATCAAGTAATTTTTACATTGGTGTATGTTGATGATATAATTGTTAAATGAAATTATCAGAAGGCAATGCAAGATTTCATTAACAATTTGAATGCTAAATTTGCTCTGAAGGACTTAGGTGAGTTGCATCAATTCTTGGGAATTGAAGTAAAAAGGGAAAAGTCTGGGACGCATCTAACTCAAGTCAAGTACACTAGAGACCTGCTAAAAAAGTTCAAACTTGAACATGTTAAACCATGTGCAACACTTATGTCTATAGGGAAGATCATCTCCAGAAGTGAAGGAAATGAAATAGCAAACTTTCTCTATATAGGAGTGCTTTAGGTGGACTTCAATACTTAGCTCACACATGGCCTAATATAAGTTTTGCAGTCAACAAAATGAGCCAGTTTTTACAAACACCTACAGATGTTCATTGGAAGGTAGTGAAAAGAATATTCAGGTACCTGAAGGATACAATTGAACAAAGACTCTGGATACAGAGAACTGATGCAGTACATCTTACCGGTTTTGCTGATGCAGATTGGGCATCATGCCCTGATGATAGAAGGTCTACACCTGCTTATTGCATTTACTTAGGAGATACATTGGTAGGTTGGTCATCAAAGAAGCAACATGTTGTAGCCAGGTCCAGCACTGAATCAAAGTATAGGGCTTTAGCACAAGGTGTAGCTAAACTGACTTGGATTGAATCACTGCTTAAGGAGATCAAATTAGTCTA